CAGTGGTGGTGTGAGTGGCGGTGTGAGTGGTGGTGTGAGTGGTGGTGTGAGTGGTGGTGTGAGTGGTGGTGTGAGTGGTGGTGTGAGTGGTGGTGTGAGTGGTGGTGTGAGTGGTGGTGTGAGTGGTGGTGTGAGTGGTGGTGTGAGTGGTGGTGTGAGTGGTGGTGTGAGTGGTGGTGTGAGTGGTGGTGTGAGTGGCGGTGTGAGTGGTGGTGTGAGTGGCGGTGTGAGTGGTGGTGTGAGTGGTGGTGTGAGTGGTGGTGTGAGTGGTGGTGTGAGTGGTGGTGTGAGTGGTGGTGTGAGTGGTGGTGTGAGTGGTGGTGTGAGTGGTGGTGTGAGTGGTGGTGAGTGCGGGAGAGGGTGACAAGATGGGGAGAAACGTTGCAGCGGTGGGTCAGAGGGGAAACCCCCGCGCACCCTCCTTGGGTTTTGTGTACAGGATGACAGTTCTGGAGTTTCGAAGTTCGGGGGTTTTGAAGTGATTAGAGAGTGCCGGGCCGCGGAAGGAGAGCTGAAGAGAAAGGACGAAGAAAAATGAAAACCATAGGGACACATAAATGCACCCCTAAGAAAACATGCCATGCGAAATCTTCCACTCGCCGTATATAAGCTGGCTAGGACATAACAGCACACACGTACGACGACACGTCGTACCTTGTACGACATGCAATCCGCCAATAGCATTATGTGTCGGTCGTCGATGCTCATCCCGTGGCTGCCCATGGTGTACTTGATCTCCGACATGATGGCGGAACGGGCGGCCTGAAGGGTGAGAGTTGAAAGAGACAAGTTATCAGTGAAGAGGAAGAGGAAGAGGAAGAGGAGGAGGAAGAGAGGAGGGTAGCCATTAGGGACGGGGTAGTGACGTCACTCTGCATCCCACACCGCACCACCATGGCTTGGTAATCTCCTTGTGGCGACTTTGTGATGTCATCATTTGAGGGGACAAAACACACACGGGGGTGAAGGTACCTGGCACTTCACCCCACCTGAGGGAGAGCTGGACGTGGACGTGGACGTGGAGATTGAAGGGGTGGAGTAGACAATACCGGTACCCAAAAGCTGCCCCCCATCACCACACCACCCCCACCACTCCCACCACCACTTCCCGCTTTCCCATCCGCCCCCCACCCTCGGGTCCCCAACCCCCCCGCACCTCAATGCCCATGAACTTCTCAATCTCCGCCACGTGGTTAGTGGTGGTCTGCGTGCCCAGCACCCCCAGAGTGCCCATCACGGCCTGCAGATGGGAAGCCGACAAAAGGGGAGGGGAGGGGAAATAATATGCCATGCCAAGTCAGAAAGGAAAAACAGCAACAGCTGGCCCTCTCTCCGTCACCAAAGTTGCAAACTGCCGCTGCTGGAGGTGAGGTGGGGTAAGGGAGGAAGTCGCCAAAGGGGGGAGGTGGAATCGGCGGGGCGGCTATAACCCCGGAAAGGGTGGTAAGAGCCATGAGGATGACGTCAGACAGCGAAACAATGTACCGTAGACGGAACATCAGCAGCAGCGTTATTAGAAGCATTAGCATCATATTTAGCAGCGACATCTACAGCAGGCGGCAGGCGGCAGGAATGGAACATCCCGCTTTTCCCCCTCCCGCTTTTCCCCCTCCCGCTTTTCCCCCTCCCCTCCTCCCCTCCCCCCCCCTCTTCCGCCCCTGCCCACCCACCTGCACGTTCGTCCCCTCCACAAGCAGCGAGTACTTGTCCCCCTTG